CCCTCCGGTGCACCCGGTGTTTTTCAACGAGAAGTGTTTTTCCCGGGGCTCGCACCTGGTGTTTCACAGTGAAAGCCTTGCGCGCCAGATTGGGCTCCTGGCCCCCGAACTACAACAACAACTGCTCCCGCTTGATATTTCTTCACAATCTATTCAAAACCGCGCTCTCACGCGGGATTGCTCACAATTTACACACAACCCTCCGCGAAACTTAACGCAGGTTTTGCCGACACCCCGTCGCCCCCAATTGCCGTCAACCCTCCGCGAAACTTCGCGCGGCGCGGTGCGCGGACGCTGTCGGAAAATTTGAAGTCACATGTTTCGGCATCAACATAGGAATTTGGGGGTCTGGGGGCGCCCGCGCGACGCGGGAAAACTTGCGTTAAGTTTCGCGGAGGGATGCAGGAGTCGCGCTTTCGCGTGGGATTCCCTTTCTTTTCAAGGAGACGCCGCGTCCTCGACACTCCGGAATCACGCCCTCGCTTTGGGCTCCCACACGATTTACCTTGGAATCGCGCTGTCGCTCGAAACTTTTGTGCGATCAATGCAGGACTCACGCTTCAGCGACCCGCCCGCTCGACCCGGCCGTCTGGGCCCGCCCGTCCGACCCACCCGTTTGGGTCCACCCACCCAACCCGTCCGTCTGGTTTTGCCGCTCGTTTTCCTGCTCCTAGCCCCCATCCTGCTAATCTGTCGCTCCGCCTCGTCCCTTCCCTCCTCCCTCCCTTCCCTTGTTTTAGGCGCTGCACCAGCTACACGTGGCAGGTAAGGAAGATATACCCCCAAGGGAGCTACGATCTAATACGAAGGGGGCGGGTATCGAGGGTTCGGGATGTACGTGTCGATTTGTATACGAGCAGATAAGAGCGAACAGTCTGAAAATGGTTGTTGTTGAAGTTAATTGTGATAATTGTGACGATGATGACGACGATGAGGATGATGACGGTGGTAGGGTGGTGGTGGTGATGGTGATGGCGATGATGCTGCTGCTGATGATGATGATGACGATGATAATGTTGATGACGATGACGATGACGCTGATGATGATGATGATGCTGCTGATGCTGATGCTGATGCTGCTGCTGCTGATGATAATTATGTTGATGCTGATGAAGACGATGATGATGCTGATGATGATGAAGAAGATGATGATGAATATGATGATGCTGATGATGCTGATGATGCTGATGATGGTGACGATGATGATGATCATGATGATGATGCTGATGATGATGCTGATGATGATGATGGTGATGATGATGATGCTGCGCCGCTGCTGCTGCTGCTGATGATGATGATGATGATGATGCTGCTGCTGATGATGATGATGATGATGATGATGATGCGGATGCTGCTGCTGCTGCTGCTGATGATGATGATGATGATGATGATGATGATGATGATGATGATGATGATGATGATGATGATGATGATGATGATGATTATGGTGGCGGTGGTAGTGGTGGCGAAGGGGAGGAGGCAATGAGAAGGAAGGAAGAGGACGAGGAGGATAATCAGGAAGAGAAGGAGGATGAGGAGGAGGAGGAGGAAGAGGAGGAGGAGGAGGAGTAGGAGGAGGAGGAGGAGGAGGGGACGGATGAGGAGGAGGAGGAGGAGGAGGAGGAGGAGGAGGAGGAGGAGGAGGAGGAGGAGGAGCACTCGCTCGGGCATGCGGTGGCGCACATAAGCGCCATATGTGTGCCGTGTCGGGCCTCGCCGGAGCCACCCTGTCCGTGCCAGACCCTTAGAGCCTGCCTTAGAAGTAGGCTCCTGTCCAGGTCTGGAGAGGAGGGCCAGATTGCCTTTTCGCGGGCGGAGGACGAGGATGAGGATGAGGATGATGAAGGAGGACCAGTGTAAAGCCAAGACTCATCAACGATGTTGGAATACACCTTCCCTCCAAGCTTCATCTTCATACGCCCCTACAAGCATTAATTTCCACTGAGGGAACTGCCCCGTTGGGAGACAACTATATGATTTTTTTGATTCGTGGCCTTCCACCGAAGGTCCCAGGCCAGCCCGCATGCGTCCTCCACGCCCAGTACAGCGCTTCGTGGCCCCATACGGAGCTCCACCTAAGGTCACAGTGGCGCAGACCGCAAGCGTCTCCCACACCCAGTACAGCGTTTCGTGGCCCCATAGGGAGCTCCACCGAAGGTTCCATTGGCGCAGCCCGCATGCGTCTCCCCCACCCATTACAGCGTTTCGCGGCCCTATGGGGAGCCCCACCGAGGGTTCCAATGACGCAGCCCGCATGCGATTCCCCCACCCAGTACAGCATTTCGTGGCCCGATAAGAAACCCCTCCGAAGGTCCCAGTGGCGCAGCCCGCATGCGTCTCCCACTCCCAGTGCTGCGTTTCGTGGCCCCACAGGGAGCTCCACCGAAGGTCCCAGTGTCGCAGCCGGCGTGCGCTCCTCGCGCAAAGTACAGCGTTTCGTGGCCCCATAGGGAGTTCCACCGAAAGTCCCAGTTGCGCAGCCCGCATGCGTCTCCCCCACCCAGTACAGCGTTTCGTGGCCATACAGAAAGCCCCACCTAAGGTCCCAGTGGCGCAGCCCGCGTGCGTTTCCCCCATCCAGCACAGCGTTTCGTGGCCCCACAGGGAACTCCACAAAAGGTCCCAGTGTCGCAGCCCGCATGCGTCCCCCCCACCCAGTGAAGCGTTTCGTGGCCCCATATGGAGCTCCACCGAAGGTCCCAGTGATGCGGCCCGCATGCATCTCCCCCCAGTACACATTTCGTGGCCCTATAGGGAGCTCCACGAAAGGTCCCAGTGGCGCAGCCCGCTTGCGTCTCACACGCCCAGTACAGCGTTTCGTGGCCCCACAGGGTGCTCCACTGAAGGTCCCAGTGGCGCAGCCCGCATGCGTCTCCCACACCCAGTACAGCGTTTCGTGGCCTCATAGGGAGCTCCACCGAAGGCTCCATTGGAGCAGCCCGCATGCGGCACCCCCGCCCAGTACAGCGTTTCGTGGCCGTATAGGGGGCTCCACCGAAGCTCCCAGTGGCGCATCCCGCATGCGATTCCCCCACCCAGTACAGCGTTTCCGGCCCCATAGGGAACTCCACGTAAGGTCCCAGTGGCGCAGCCCGCATGCGTCTCCCACACCACCCAGAACAGCGTTTCGTGGCCTCATAGGGAGCTCCACCAATGGTCCACATTGCGCAGCCCGCATGCGTCCCCCCCATCCAGTACAACTTTTCTTGGCCGCATAAAAAGGGGGCTCCACCGAAGGTCCCAGTGGCGCAGCCCGCATGCGCCCCCCCCCCACCCAGTACAGTATTTCGTGGCCCCGTAGGGAGTTCCACCGATGGTCCACGTTGCGCAGCCCGCATGCGTTTTCCACATTCAGTACAACTTTTCGTGGCCGCATATGGGGACTCCACCGAAGGTCCCAGTGGCATAGCCCGAGTATAGCGCTTGGTGGCCGTATAAGTAGCTCGCAGCCCGCATGCGTTTCCTCCACCCAGTACAGCTTTTCGTGGCCCCGTAAAAAAAAAGGGGCTCCACTGAGTGTCCCAGTGGCGCAGCCCGCATGCGTCTCCCACACCCAGTACAGCGTTTCGTGGCCCCATAAAAATGGGGGCTCCACCGAGGGTCCCAGTACAGCGCTTCGTGGCTCTGTAGGGAGCTCCACCCAGGGTCCCAGTGGCGCAGCCTGCATGCGCCTCCCACACCAGTATAGCGTTTCGTGGCCCCGTAAAAAGGGAGCTCCACCGAGTGTCTCAGTGGCGCAGCCCGCATGCGTCTCCCACACCCAGTACAGCGTTTCGTGGCCCCATAAAAATGGGGGCTTCACCGAGGGTCCCAGTACAACGCTTCATAGTTCTGTAGGGAGCTCCACCGACGGTCGCAGGGGCGCAGCCCACATGCGCTTCCCCAGCCCAGTACAGCGCTTCCCCACCCAGTATTGTGTTTCGTGGCCCCATTGGGAGCTCCACCGCAAGGTTTCAGTGTGGCAGCCCGCATGCGTCTCCCCGACCAGTACAGCGTTTCGTGGCCCCATGGGGAGCTCCACCTAAGGTCCCAGTGGCACAGCCCGCATGCGTTTCCCCGCATCCAACACAGCGTTTCGTGGCCATACAAGGAGCTCCACCGAAGGTCCCAGTGGCGCAGCCCGCATGCGTCCCCCCCACCCAGTACAGCGTTCCGTGGCCCCATAGGAATCTCCACCGAAGGTCCCAGTGGCGGAGCCCGCATGCGTCCCCCCCCCACCCAGTACAGCGTTTCGTGGCTCTATGCGGGGACTCCACCGAAGTCGATACCTACAACTGCGGTGTTCACAATTGCATATGGTTGGGTCTTTCGCCAAGCTAATTTGAAATGGATATGCGTTGCGCTGAGGCGAGCTCCACCATTTCAAAATCACGTGTCATCAATGTGTGAAGCTTCTGCGAATGTTAAGACGAAATGTGCGCGGCGCTAAGGCGAGAGTTACATTTTGATAACAACCCGCCTTCCATTTGCGAAGCTGTTGCCAGTTTCTAAGCATCAGGCTCATAAGTTGCGAGGAAGTCTCAGGCGCAACGCCTGGCCCGCCCTTCCGATGGGCTTGGGGGTGCGACAGGGAAGAGGTGCTCATAAGGAAAAGGAGCGGAGGAGGAGGCGGAGGAGAAGGAGGAGGAGGAGGAGGAGGAGGAGGACGACGGGAAGGACGGAGGCAGAGGGGGGGGAGGAAGGATAACGAGGAGCAGTTGGGAGGAGGATGCTCTTGTACGTCGTTCTGCTTCCTCTTCCCTCCCCACTCCTCGTACCCCCATCTTTTGCTTCTCCTCCTCTTCCTCATCCTCGTCCTCCTCGTCGTCCTCCTCCTCCTTCTTCTCCTGCTCCTCGTCCTCGTTCTCGTCCTTCTCCTCCTCGTCCTCGTCCTCCTTCTCTTTGTCCTCCTCCTCTTCCTCCCCCCTCCCTCCCTCTTTCCCTCTCTCCCTCCCTCCTTCCCTCCCTCCCATCCCTGCCTCCCTCCCTTCCTCCCTCCCTCCCCTCCCCTCCCACGCCGTAGCCATGTAGGAGGCTCAGGCTGTTTCGCATTTTTTTGAAGCTCTGAACTGTTTGCGCTTCCGTGGCCGACCAGGCGGCCGCCAGGACTCCGCTTCGATGAGCAAGAGCGGGGTCATCAAGTTCTTTACCGAGCAAAAGGGCTACGGTTTCATCCAGGAGGCCAGAAAAATCACACAGACATACTGCCAGGAATGTTTGTTTAGCGTGTCGCGCCGTCGGCTCTGGCCCACCGCGCGTCGGCGCGACACTGCTAAACGTCCCGGTTCCCAGGCATCAGCGTTGTGAGCTCGTCTTGGCGCCCGTCCCACGAAGAGCAGAGCGACACGCCACCAGCCTGCAGGGAGCAGCGTGATGCAGGGGCCGCCGCCGCGACACGCTGAGCACGAGTTCCTGACCGTAAACGTCGGACGCCCGCGTGCGCTTCCTCCGCCGGCGCCAGGCCCTCAGACCCCGTCGGGTTTTGTGCAGGGCGTCGGCGCCCAGCGGGGAAGCCGTCCCGCGGACGTGCGAGGCATTTGGTCTGTGTGCCTCTTTTGCCCTCCCGGCCGTCGTCCAAGACGATGGCATGCCAGACCTGTTCGCGCACAGCAACGACTGCGTCGGCAACCTGCCGCAGGAGGGCGACGCCGTGACGTACGATCAGGTCGAGAACGACCGCAACGGCAAACCCCAGGCCAAGAACGTGACGGGAGGCACCGGACCAGCTAAGACTGGCGGGGGCGGTGGCGGTGGTGGCAAGGGGAAGGGAGGCAAGGGTGGCAAGGGCTGCTTCGGCGGTGGCGGAGGCGTCTTCGGAGGCCCAGAGCCCATGATGGGCGGCGGCTTCGGTGGTGGCGGGGGTGGTGGGATGAAGATTCTACAGGCTTGCGCCACATCCGCCGACACCTTTGATTTTGTGGGGGGCCTGCCTTATCGAAGACGCCTACGGCGAATCACCGCCGCGCCCTGCCTTTCTGGAAACGCCTATGTGGCCGAAAGTTGGGCTAGATCTTGACCAAGCTATCGGACCATGTGTTTCCCGAGTCGGTCTGGAAAGCCTTCGGGGAACACGTGGTGAGAGAAAGAGGAAGTAGATGAGAGGGAGGAACAAGGAAGAGCAGGCGGTGGAGACCTTTTGGAAGCTTCTTGGGGCACTGTTGGGGCCTCCTGGGAGCTTCCATGGGGGCCTCTTGGAGGCCTCTTGGGGGCCTCCTTGGGCCTCTTGGTCGCCTTTGGGGGCTTCTTGAAGGCCTCTCTGGCCGTCTTAGGACGTTCCTGGCCCGTCTGACGCCGTCGGAAGCCGTCTTGCGGGCCTCTCTGAACCGACTTGGGGCCCGTCTTGGGGCGCTTCAGGGCCGTCTTGGAGGCCATCTGGGGCGTCTTGGAGGCCTCTTGGGCCGTCTTGGGGCCCCTCTGGGGCCAGCTTGGAGGCCTCTTGGGCGATCTTTGGGGCGATCTTGCGGGCCTCTCGGGCCCATCTTGGGCCATCTTGGCCGTCTGAGCGGCCATCTTGGCCGTCTTAGAGGTCATCTTGCCCGTCTTGGAGGCATCTTGGAGGCCATCTTGGGCCGTCTTTTGGGGCTGGCTTGAGGCCTCTTGGGCCGTTCTGGAGCCATCTTGGATGCCTCTGGGACGATTTTGGGGACTCCTTGGGGCGTCGTGGGCGGTCGGAACACGAAAACGGAGGAAAACCCGAAGTCCTTCAATTATCCTGGCGAAGGACCCAACCATATGCAAACGTGAATACCGCAGGGCAGGTGGGACGAAGCAAAAAGAATTCCCAATGTGGCCACGAACCGTGTGAGGGGTGCGCCACACTGGGGCGGGGCCGCCATGCGAACCCTGCCACTGAGGCCTTCGGTGGAGCTCTCTATGTCCCTGCGGGGCCACGAACCGTGTGAGGGGTGCGCCAATATGGGGCGGGGCCGCCATGCGAACCCTGCCACTGGGGCCTTCGGTGGAGCTCCCTATGGGGCCACGAACCGTGTGAGGGGTGCGCCAAAATGAGGCGGGGCCGCCATGCGAACCCTGCCACTGGGGCCTTCGGTGGAGCTCCCTATGGGGCCACGAACCGTGTGAGGGGTGCGCCAAAATGAGGCGGGGCCGCCATGCGAACCCTGCCACTGAGGCCTTCGGTGGAGCTCCCTATGGGGCCACGAACCGTGTGAGGGGTGCGCCAAAATGGGCGGGGCCGCCATGCGAACCCTGCCACTGGGGCCTTCGGTGGGGCTCCCTATGGGGCAACGAACCGTGTGAGGGGTGCGCCAAAATGGGCGGGGCCGCCATGCGAACCCTGCCACTGAGGCCTTCGGTGGAGCTCCCTATGGGGCCACGATCCGTGTGAGGGGTGCGCCAAAATGAGGCGGGGCCGCCATGCGAACCCCGCCACTGGGGCCTTCGGTGGAGCTCCCTATGGGGCCACGAACCGTGTGAGGGGTGCGCCAAAATGGGGCGGGGCCGCCATGCGAACCCTGCCACTGAAGCCTTTAGTGGAGCTCCCTATGGGGCCACGAACCGTGTGAGGGGTGCGCCAAAATGGGGCGGGGCCGCCATGCGAACCCTGCCACTGGGGCCTTCGGTGGAGCTCCCTATGGGGCCACGAACCGTGTGAGGGGTGCGCCAAAATGGGGCGGGGCCGCCATGCGAACCCTGCCACTGGGGCCTTCGGTGGAGCTCCCTATGGGGCCACGAACCGTGTGAGGGGTGCGCCAAAATGGGGCGGGGCCGCCATGCGAACCCTGCCACTGGGGCCTTCGGTGGAGCTCCCTATGGGGCCACGATCCTCGTGAGGGGTGCGCCAAAATGGGCGGGGCCGCCATGCGAACCCTGCCACTGGGGCCTTCGGTGGAGCTCCCTATGGGGCCACGAGCCGTGTGAGGGGTGCGCCAAAATGAGGCGGGGCCGCCATGCGAACCCTGCCACTGGGGGCTTCGGTGGAGCTCCCTATGGGGCCACGAACCGTGTGATTGGTGTGCCGAAATAGAGACATGCGGAGGGTGATGCTGATGATGACGCCGAATATCATAGTGATGTTGATGATGACGATGATGATGATGACGATGATGATGATGATGATGGCAGGAGGGAGGGGGCAGCGGGAGGAGGAGAAGGAGGGAACGCGGGGCACCGTCTCTTCAAAACGAGGACCCAACACCACAGGATGGTTGGGAAAAACCTCAGGAGAATCAATGATTTTTGCCTCCTCAGGCTTTTCTGGAGGACCTCTTGGAGGCCTCGTGGGTCGTCTTGGAGGCCTCTTGGAGGTCTGGGGCCGTCTTGGGCCATCTTGGACCTTCTTGGGCCGTCTTGGAGGCCAGCTTGGACCATCTTGGGCGACTTTGGAAGCCATATTGGGCCATCTGGACCCTTTCGGAGACCGTCTTGAGCCGTCTCGGAGGATTTTTTCCAGACATTGAGGCCGTTTACGCGCCTTCCGCGTGGCCGGAGAGGGCGCTGGGCCGAAGCCCCAGGGGGAATTTCTAAAAGAACCCAAGCCGAAAGGATCCAGCACGCCAGGCACCCCTGTGGCAAGCCAACAGGCGGCGGTGGATTTTCGAGAGAGCCCTTTGCCCGTCCCGCCACCGTGCGTGGGTTTTGGGTCAGGTCCTCCGGGGTGCTTCTTGGGGTTCGGAGCTCTCTCGGGGGTCTGTGGGGGGGCAGTTTTGGAGTCGTTTTGGGAGTTTCTGTTGGACTTTTTGTTGGAACTGCTGATAGGAGCATACTTTACCGCTCCGTCCCCCCGTGCCCCTTTTTCCAGAGTAATGGTTTATGAGGTCGTTCTCGTATGACGACGACCGCTGGATTTGTGGCTCAAGGACGCGAAGCGTCCAAGAGCGGACACTGAACCGATGATTCGGATTACAGTGAGCGCCTGCTCGCCAGAGGAGAACACTCATTACAGCTTCTTGCCATGGATCTTCTTGTTGTTGACCTCCTTAGCGTTGAGTTATACTGCGATATAACCAGGGCAACCTACCCCTTGTCTGGCCGAAGCCGCCTTGGCTCGCCCTAGAAGGGAGGGTTTCGGACTTAGAGACTGGATCAAAGACTGGATCAAAGGATTTACTCAGAATGTCACTTCGTCTGGTTCACTTTAGAGCCTCTTAGGGGCCTTTTGGGGGCCCTTTGGGGGCTTCTTGGGGCCTCTTGGGTGCCTCTTGTTGGCCTCTCGACGCCCCCTAGGGACCACTCGAAGCTGATGGCTCGAACATGTCCGTTCGGCTCCCCCGTCTGGGCCCCCTCTTGGAGCCGTCTTGGGGGCCTCTTGGGCCGTTTTGGCGGCTTGTTGGACCGTCTTGGGGCTCTTTTGGGCCGTTTTGGGGCCCTCTTGGAGGCATCTTCGGCCGTCTTGGGATGATCTTGGGGGCCTTTTGGGCCGTCTTGGAACGTTGGGAATTGGAACACGCGACGAGAAAGCTCCAATCTTCCCCAAACTAGGGGTAATCAATTAATTCTGCCTCTTGGGGCCGTTTTGGGAGGCCTTTTGAGTTTGAGCAGGGGCTAAAGGCGAGTGTTGCGATCGCCGTGCCTGCGTCCGCTGCTGTTTGTGTTTCAAGCGGCTAGCCTCTAGTATTTGATTGTCCCGTTCATGTGGCACGGTAGCACCTGAGTGACGGAAAACATCCTTCGATGGTCTTTTCTCTTTTCCCATGCTTTCTCTCTCACCTACCCGCTACTGATAACCCATGTCGTATTTTCCTACGCGTAAGGCGTAACGTATGGTACGGCTTACCATGTTCTTTCCGATTTAGTGGCGGAGTTGGCCTCATCTTTATGTGGCTGGCTCTGGCTTTAACACGAGTGTTCCACGGCGCAGAGAGATTGATTAACCACTTGGTAATTCATTATTTTGCACCATCTCTTCGAAAGGCAACGGACCGCAGAGTGGCCGGGCACAGAAACCTCACGTGAACTTTGCACCCGTTCGAAGGCTGACGGCCACGTCAGCTCACAACCACAATGACCACGACACCACCAGCATTAACATGACCTTGCGCCACGTCATGTTATTCTTTTCCAAGTCATATGGGTGTGTCTTGGCCTGGCAGTTTGTTGCATGCAACGAGGAATGGACGATGCGCGTGCCAGGGGCCCTTGCTGGCACCCTACTGGCAAGGTGCCCTTCCGCAATTTCGTTCGCGAAGTGCACGACTGGCTCATCGTAACAAGTGGGGTCGTGACTCCACCGCAACCAGCCGCTGCTTTGCAGCGCGGCCTTGCAGCGCGGCCTTGGAGGCCTAGCCAGGGCCCTGGTTGTGAGCGCCATCTTCTATTTTCAGCTACGGCGTAACTTTGCAAGGTCAACGCGCCGACGGTGTAGTGTGCATCGTGTTTTTCCTCGGCGCATAATTTGACAATCTCGAGAACGAGCGACAATTGACGTCGGGAACAGGCTTCTTCGACTTTAGGCTTCAGGGTCGACCCAGGTGAACGCGTCGACTCGGTGTTGGCCCAATTCGACATGGCCAGGTTGGAAGCGGACTCGGCTGGATTCAATGTCCGGAATTTCCAGATGTTGATGCTGTGGCTGTTTGGAGCCTTGGTGGTCGGTATCTCCCGGGCCTCGCAGCTACTGCAACCCCTCAACCACGGGGTGCTCCGAATTCAACAACAGGGGGACCAATTTTTGGAGCGGGTACGCAGCTGCGGACACTTTGCTGAACGCGGTCGTGGAAACGTGGGCAGGGTCCTCGCTGGCCGAGGATTTGACGATAGTGCGTTCCACGCGGACGTACACGGCGCTCCTGCGGCCGCGTCTGGCAAAATCCGGGCCGACCACGAACCGAACGAACCCGCGGCGCTTCTAGGCCAGGGTACTGGCTGCGTAAGCAGCTGGGCCAACATTAACGACTGGAACCAATGGCTGGCTGCAG